GTACGCTATCCCCGCCGTTTTCGAATTATGACAAATGACGACCTCACAATAGCAACACTTGTGATGGCCCTTTACTGCCACTATGATTCTGTCCTATTACTTCCCTTCTTTCGCACTTGCCCTATAAATTGACATACTGTAATGACCGCTCTCATATTCTTTTTTCTTCTTCTCTTTCTCTCTTCTCTCCTCTCTCTCTCTCTCATCTCTCTCTCTCTCTCTCTCTCGATCTCTCTCTCTCTCTCTTTTCTCTCTTTCTCTTCTCTCTCTCTCTTCTCTCTTTCTCTTCTTTTCTCTCTTCTCTCTTTCTCTCTTTCTCTCTTTCTCTCTTTCCTCTCTTTCTCTCTTTCTCTCTTTCTCTCTTTCTCTCTTTCCTCTCTTTTCTCTCTTCTCTCTTTCTTCCTCTTTCTCTCTATTTCTCTCTTTTCTCTCTTTCTCTCTTTCTCTCTTTCTCTCTTCTCTCTTTATCTCTTTCTCTCTTCTCTCTTTCTCTCTTTCTCTTCTCTCTCTCCTCTTTCTCTCTTTCTCTCTTCCTCTCTTCCTCTCTTTCTCTCTTCCTCTTCTCCTCTCTTCCCTTCTCTTCCTCTCTTCCTCTCTTCCTCTCTTTCTCTCTTTCTCTTTCCTCTCTTTCTTCGGCTTTCCTCTCTTCCTCTCTTCCTCTCTTCCTCTCTTCCTCTCTTCCTTCTTCCTCTCTTCTCTCTTCTCTCTTCCTCTCTTCCTCTCTCCTCTTTCCTCTCTTCCTCTCTTCCTCTCTTCCTCTCTTCCTCTCTCTCTTTCCTTAATTTACCTATACTTCACATCATTCGTCAAATATCCGACTTCCGATAACTTCGCGGATATTTCCTTGATCACCTAACATTTTCTCTTGATCAACCCATACTGCCCTGCCCCTTTCCACGCCACGCCTACATCTCGTTTCGTCCTCTCGCGCCGTCTGATGCAGTGATTTCATTAGTCGCCGCGTGGCGCGTGTGTGTGTGTTAATTGCCGCCCGCGACTTACGCGGCGGATTGCAAGCGCGCTCTTCGCAGCTCCACACCACACACCAACACACACACACACAACACACACACACACACACCAAACGCAGATGCGCCTTGGCGTGGCCGCCCCTCACCGCCGCCCCTACATTATTTCACATTTTCATCCCGAAGCTCCGCGTGTCTGCACTGTCCTCTTCATCCCTTTTCTTTCCGCCATCCCTCCGCCCACTTGCATGAGAGAGTACGAGTGTTTGTGTGTGTGTGGGTGGGTGGGTGGTTAGTGTGCTGTTAATGTGAGTCATTTAACCTCCCCCCGAGCGCCGCTGCGGGCTGCCCCTGTTCTTGCTATGGCATTACAAACACACATTGAAGCCATTAAACCACCCGCAGGGATTGCTAGTGAAAATTGCCGACGCCCTCCCGCCCGGCCCGCGCGGTTCCCGAGGCGTCGGTACGCAAATGGCGGCGGCCGGTGGGGGCAGGGAGGCGGGAGGGTTGCGCGAAGGGGCGTCGGAGGGTGGCGAAGGAGGGCCGCTTGCGGGGGCGCTCCCCAGGTGCGGGCATGACCGTCGTTAATAATAGTTCCGAGCGCCTGCCGACGCGTCGCGTCGCCTTGGCTGGGGTGCCCCCCCCCCCCCCTTCCCCCTCCCCCACCCCACGCTTCGCACGCTGACGCTACTTGAGTTGGCAGCGCGCTGGGCGTATTTTCTACACACTGGAGGAATAGGTGTTTGAAGGAAGTAGGGCCTTATGGGATGGACACTATATGGAACAGGGAGGAAAATCAAGGAATTTCATTGCTCTGGAAATGGCAGGGAAATACCGAAGAAGATTTGGATGGGTCGTTAGAAGTCGGGGAAAATTTCAGATGGTCATAAATGTACGTATTATCCATAAAAAATAGTATAGCATTGCTTTTTGATCAATTTCTGTTTGTTGAGCTGTTTTCAATTTATTCTTTCTCATGGCGAAATTAGATTCGGTCAAACGTTAATATTTTCTTTAAATACTGTGCGAAATATTTGACAAGCTTATCAATGAAAATTGTGGAAAAATAATAAGAGCTCTGCAAAGCCGGCGAAATGTCAAGAAAATTTGTTTTATAAGAAATTAATGACGGCGCCTCGCTTTCCAATATTTGTTTACCTCACATTCACACCTGATATAGCAGAGCTCGTGATCAGTAAATAAATAGGTTTCTATGTGTCAAGTTAATTTTATCCTTGGTTCGTATCTACAAATTTATTAATTTCCTTAGAAAATGTTCGCCCTAATTTCAGTTTTGAAATCGTGCAATTTATAATAGGTTAGGCAAGTTTAACGTTTACTCAAACTGTTCACCTTCACTGAAAATAGACATAATAAATGTAGATTTGAGGTGAAGCTGCCGTCGCTCTATTGTTCTAATTTCACGTGCGCTGGGGCCACGTTGCCTTGTGCGTCCACGAGCCCATCCGGGCGGCGTCTGATCCGCCCCGCCCCGCCCCTCCGCTCCCCTCTCCACCTCCCGCCCCGCCCCGCCGCGCAGCCGCCCGCTGAGTAGGTACCTTATATGCCGGCCGCCGCTGTTTCGTATGCAGCTTTCTTTTTATTATAATAATTGCGTAAGTAGTATAGGCCAGGTAATTTGGAGCGGGTCCGTTGCCAGAGACCATTATGTGGGGCAGAGACTAATCGTAATCTGTTTAGCTTAGGAAGCGTGTGCCCGCGAGGCGCGCGGGTCTTCTTGTTATATTTTATCGGAAATCATAATTTGCGCATTATAGAGAGACGGGGTGGTTCCGTGCACCGGGCGTTTTAAATTCGAGATTGGCCGTAATAGCGCTGATGTACGTCGGGTTCGCAGGCTGCCAATCACGAGCCGGGGAATTCCGAAACATCGCCGCACTGCCTGGCCGGTGCCTTCGCCGGTGCCGACTCTGGAAGGAGTTACGAGAGCACCGAACGACCCCAAATCTTAGTGGGGACATAACGGGCACATATCGTTGCATTGGACACAATATTGTGGTGATTACATCATTTATTTGATCGACGAAAAACTTGTTTCGGTTTTATCGCACTATTGCCCTTCATTTGTTAAGAACAAATAAATGCAAAGAAACTAAATATAATTGCTTTCGTTGTCAAAATTCCTTTTGAACATCGTAAGTGTGAGTGCAGTGGCCGTCACTATCTTTCGGACCATAAAGTATCAGAACTTAATGCTAATCACAACATTTAATCTACCGACGAGACCTATTATTTTTGGACATCGTTAAAGATTGGAATGGAAAAATTTGATTTTTGATTGTAAAATAATCTATTTCTCATTTGTTTAAGTCGCGGGTATACGTGTTAATTGCTACCACCTTGTCGTAAATGAGGCACTGTTTTGTTTCGTAATGATTCATTCAACTCTGTTAGCTTAAAGTGTTTTTACTTGTGGGGAACACATTTTGGTGGCCCTGTCGCTGATTCCACAATCGTGAACCGCTGTTTTGTATTCGTTCAAGACATGTCGTCGTGTTTTGGCAATCGGAAAACGTCGTGATACCTATTGCTGGGAGTCGTCGAGAAAACAACAACAACAACAACAAAACCTCTGTAGCCTATTCACGCAAGAAGTATCTTTGCAGGCGGCTGTTCTTCGACGTGTTGAAGGAAGGCGTATTATTTCTGTCGAGCATCATCTCCAAACCGGACGTACCTAACGTATGCGTCGTCGAGTCGGACACTACCGCTTCCCATGCACGCGTGCGCTGAACAAATACAAACGCAGCAGCGACTCACCTTGGAGATTTTCAAAGTGGGCATTACCATTTTTCATCTAATGCCAGCGTTTTCCAGGCTTCCCGTCACGTCGCCTATCTGTATCTCCGGCTACATATTAAACGAGGAGCGGAGGTGGGTGTTTGGGAGAAACGCGTGTAATTGCATTAGTGATGCAGGGGTCGAACCTGGACCGTGTGGGCGCGGGGGCGTTTGGTATTCGGCCGCGCCGCGCCGCCGCCGCCGCCTCCTCCGCCTGCGAGGGAGGTGCGCCCGTTGCATAATGCAGCTGGGGCCCACGTCCGTCTCGAGGTTCAGGCTTCGTCAACGCACTGCTCTGTCCGAGCGCTCGGGAGGTTCCCCCCAGTCGACATTCGTTGTTACTTCGCGTCGGATGTGCGACGGATTGTCATTTGTTTTGATGAACTGCGTCTCGCGGTGAACGACTTGATAACGGATGGTCGTCTGTTGGTTTCTAATGGAGCAAACGTCGGTGCAAAATACTTCTCAGATGCCTCTGAAAGAAAAAAAAATATTCTTCAGAATTTCTGCTTTTGTCACTGTTTCTTAATCCCTCACAAGCTTTCTGTGTACTGTAAAAAAATATTTTATATTTAAAAAAAAATACGTAATTTTTTTCGCTTCTTTCTAAAATTCCCGCCTACAATTTTAAAATTAACGAATGCGTAATGATTTTTATCTGGTTTTATATCAATATAAACTCATTTCATTTCTTTGTGAAATTACAGCCTGTGGCATTGAAGTTTCGGCATGTCTAATAATTTGTATCAGTTCTCAAACAACGACGCAGCTTTAGTGCTTTCGGGTCTCAGGTCAGTCGGAGGGACGCCATTTCAAATCTTACATACCCACGATGTCCACGCGTCAGACCTTCAGGGAAGTGGGGTGGGGGGGGGTGATTCAGGGCGAGTTTTACATATCGGGCGTGGGAGGGGCAGGCGGTCGGAAGAGCCTGTCCCGAGGAGAAGGATCGCCGCGACAATTCCAGGCAGGGCCGGGGGAGGCGGGGCGCGAGGGAAATTCGTGCTCAATTATGGCCGGTGGCGTGGGTGCGGGCGCGGGCGCGGGCGCTAGCCGACCGGCTGTCGTGCCGCCACCCTCGCCGCCGCCCCGCGCGCACTGTCGTGCACCGGACACGTGTTAGAAGGGGCCCCTCTAATCGGAAGTTGTCAGCTCTTTTCTCTTTCGTTTCGCCCTCCGGCAGCTTCGCTTCGCCCGCTCGTCTCGCTCGCTCGCGTTTAAGATCTCGGCCATCGCGCTTTCGACGTGGACACAGGCCGCTCGACAATTGGCGGCCGGTAATGATACCGTGGGCGCCCTGTGATCATGCACGGTCGAGACGGGCCTGCACTACGCTTTGTGCCCGCTCGCTAACTCCCGTCACATTATGCAGAAGCGGGAACGTGCAGCGCGCTTTTAAGAGAGGACGTGTCACGAAATATCTCGCCTGACTGCAGATTGTGTTCCGTAGATCCGCTGAAATATCGGTCTCTAGGATAATTTTCCTTCGAGTGCAATATTCTGTGGTGGTGACGAGGTGGTAGCAGAAAAGCATGGAGGTTCTTTAACAAAGAAGAGCACAATTCAACTTAGTTCTGTTATCCCGACTCATATTCTTTTTTAAAATTTTCAGTGTACAAAAAAATATGAAGCAATTAAATAAATGATGATTCCAGTTCTAAATTAAAGTTTTTATTAATAGATGTTTCTATCTCTAAGTGTGAGGTACTCTTCAGTATGCAACATCATAGTGACTAATTAAGGTTATGCAACACCTCACGTAGAGCTTTGTCTAGAGGAGATTCAGAAAAGTCCTAGAAACGAAAATATGTGTACACATAAGATGTAAAAAACTTTCTATGATTAGTACGCACATTGTTCTGGCTAGGCAATGACTTAACTGAATCGTTTATTTCAGAAAACGCCACATTTCTCATTTCGAGAAAACTGAGAATAAGTGTCCTATTTTTTAAATTTCAAAATATTATTTTTATTAAAGGAGTTTGTAAATGAATGTTTTTCAAATAAATATGGACTATACAATGTGTCTATCCTCTTGGAACATTAATCCGTTACTAAAGCGTGTTTTAGTTTTTGGCGTTTGACGGGTTTCTGAAATTAACGATTTAATTAAGTCATTGCCTTCAGACTTTTCAAAAAAAAAAAAAAAGATTTAGTAAGAACAATGTGTGTTTATACTTTAGATACTTTTTCTTTTCCTTTTTTTATTTATTTATTTTTTTAAAATAATATAATAAGAGTCGTGCGTGGCGTCTGGAAGCGGTGCGGTGGGGCATTGTGCGACGGCGCGGTGCCCGCCGGCGCGCGCGCTGTGCCCCGAGGACGCGCCTACTTATCGGCGATTCCCTCTATTGGTTTCGCAGGGGACGCGAGCAACGCGAGCATCGGCAGCGGCGAGGGGACGGGCGAGGAGGACGACGACTCCAACGGCAAGAAGAACCAGAAGAAGCGCGGCATCTTCCCCAAAGTGGCCACCAACATCTTGAGAGCGTGGCTGTTCCAGCACCTCACGGTGAGTACCCGCCGCGCCGTCTCTCCTAAACTGGCGTTCAGCGCTTTCCGTGCTTTCATCCCTCATGTTCTCGTGGTTATACTTCTGTGGGCTGGAGGTGTAGGACACCATGTCCAATTTTGCCCGAAATGAATTATTGGCTCACTATATCTTATCCTCTTCTCAGAGGTATGCAACATTATGTTCTATATACATCAAGAATTGGCGGAGTTACAGTGTTTTTTAATAACAGCAAGTCCGCATGCAAGTCCAAAGTAAAATATCTTCAAACTGTTCTTCTGTAAAATTTAGTAAATGCTACATAGTGTCCTATACCTCCGACCCACAGACTTATTTTACAGTTTTTCAGAAATGAATGTGATTGTACTATTTTTTAAAACAATATGAACAAACTTTCAAAAGTATCCTCATCCTTTCCTATGCGTTATAAGGGTAATTAATCTTTTCAGCAACATCACTAAATTTCTCTCTCTCTTTGTCGATTAAATTAATTTCTGGCTAAGGCAGTATTTTTTAAAATATCAGATGGGAAAAAACGGACCATTGGAACTGACCTTGTGTGTGGATTTCACTATTTTCTGCCCAATGTCATTCATAAGCTTACAAATATTTCATAAATTACATTTCCAGTTATCTGAATTGTAGTTTTATCATTTAATCATTTTCATCAATTTCGTATGATTAAAATCATTAGTACATGGACTGTTTAGTTCTACCGCGAACTGAGCTACAACACGGAGAAGGCCCGAGTAAAACTGAATAAAAACGCACGCGTTTGCCGTGATTCTCCATTGTCGTCCACCTTTAGCGGTCGAAGGGGGTTGTAGAATGGCGGCTGCTGTCCGCGCCCACCCGTGCAGCGCGCTCTTTCGGGCGGGGGCGGGGGCGGCGGCGGCGCGAGGGTTGCGTGCGGCCAGGCGCTAATCCGGGCCGGGCGGCCCCTCCACCGGCGAGCCATAACCCCACCGCCCCGCCCCGCCCCTCCTCGCCCCCGCCGCACCTCAAGTCCGCGAGTGTGTGACTGCGGCGCCCTCTCATGAATATGCACGCGCTCGATAATGCAAATATCAGAGCAATTTCGCGCGGGCGGCAGAGGTGCCCGCGCCCGCGCCCTCCGCCCACGCCCGCGCCCGGGCTCGCCCCCGCCCAGGGGCGCACGCGCACCTGCTGGCCAGGGCGGTCGCTTTCGGGAAAACTCCGGGGATTCCGTTGCTCTGGAAAAGCCAGGGGAAAATCGTGGGATTTCATTGTCCCGGGCAAGCCAGGGAAAAATCTGTAATTGCGAAAGAAATGTTAAAAGTCAGGGAAGCGTTTTGGTGGGTTTTAAAACAGGATACAATTCCTTAAAAAACATTATCGCAGTGTTATTTTGGTTCAGTTTTAATTTTTTAAAGAAAATATTGTTTATTTGTTCGTAGTCACAGCGAAATAAGAGAGCTGGCCAATTATTATCAGGGTACTTTTAATATTTTCTGTAAATAGCATAAAGTTACAAAGTTTAACAGGAAAAAAATCTATGTACTAGAAAAACGGGCAAGGTCAAGGAAATTTGTTCCAAGAAATGAGTGGCCACCCTGTGTCGGATAACCGGCAACCGGCTTACTGAGCTCTGAGCCAGCATTGTCTGTGACTCTTCTGCTACTCTGCCTGGGAGGTCCTAGGGTTCAATTTCAGATGGTGGTAAATTGTTTACCTCAACTACATAGTTTGGTCGAATTGTGCTGGCGCCGTGCTGGCTGCTATATCGGTAGCTTTCCGTGTTTACTCCGCTCAATATCAGGCGAACGCTGGAGTTTTCCGTAAAAACAGGCCACACACGCCCGTGATCTTGTCTTTCCCTTCCTCGTATCATCTCTCTTTACATAAATTTACATTTACGTGCACTACACAACCCGCATATGTCCGGAGATCAGAGCCTCTCCAGGCTTGTGCGGTGCCCCGTTTAGGGAGATACCCCGAGAAGGGAAATTACCCGCAAACTGCCATGTAGATCGGTGCCGGATCTCACCGTCCTGTGGGACAGGTATTCTGCCAACGTCCGAGAAAAGAACGTTCACTGCACCAACTATAGTAGTTGGCGTACCAGGGAAAGATCAGGACATCAGTCGCATTAGGAGCTACTTCGTCCGAAGGAAAACCTGGCAGTCCACAAAGTGAAGATTCTCAAACGGTACGTCGCTGAGATGTGGTTTACAACAGGGCGTTTTCGAAAATGCTAAATATTTGTATTTTTAAAGCATGGTTTCCGTTAAACAAATGGTATAAGAATATTATTATGCACTTGTTCGTGGATAAAGAGAAATAGTGTAAGTTCCCCGCGTCGAAACGGACAGAGGGACAGACCTCATGCATCACTGTGCAATTCATGAATTATTGAACAAATCGGAATACTGGAAGCACTTTGTTCTTTCACCAATACTGCATCCTCCGCCTTCAAACGTTCGTCTCTGTCGTGAAAGGAACGTGTCGGCGACACGGCCGCCTGTTCGCTCTCGCGGCGTCTGAGAACGCGGCCCCGGACGGCGGCGCGGGCCGGCGGGACGTCGAGGGGGTCCGGTCTAGCCCTCGCGCGACAACTGCATCGCAAACCACGCGCGATGCACTTTGATGGATTTGCCCGGACGCGTGGCCCTGACAGCAGTCCCGGCAGCAGTTCCTGCCTGCGCGTCCGCGCCAGCCCCGACGACTCATTCTAATCACCCGGAACCAGAAAAACAACCGAAGTGGCGGGGGACGGGGCGCGGTAGGCACTGTTCGCACCGTGACGTCACCGTGCGCCGCGGACGCGCGCGGCGGGCGTCGTTGTAATTAAATTCCCATCAAGCATGCGCGCACTCGGAGGAAGCGGCGGGCCGCGCATACGCCAACAATGCGCGGGGGCTTCATTTAAATACGTCGGCTCACTCCCGCGCCGGCGTGTTTTTTTTTCTTTTTTTTCTTCTTTTTTTTCGATTTCGCGCGCACGCGTGTGAATCGGATGGGAGGGGCGAGACGTGCGTCGCCTCGGTGAGCCATATTCGCACGCAGCACGGGCGACATCAGGTGCGGTGATTAGTAATCGAGACATCCCCCCCCCTCGTCCCCCCTGAAAAAAAAGACCGTTAAAATACAATAAAGTCTGGAACAAACATCCAATTTGTGCGTCATCTTATGAGGCAGGTGAAGCATGTAATACGATTTTTTAAATGTTTTTTTTAAAACATAGTACTGTGAGAACGGCTGGTTAGAATTGTTTAGGGTTTAAAGGATGTTAGGAATCCTTTCAGTCTTGTCCGGCTACTACTGGCTTCCATGGCCCTCTGTACAGTTCATGTAACGGGTATTTTTAGAAGGTGTTATTATGTCTTCGGAAGTGGGGTGAACATGCGTCATGCTTCAGCCCGATATTTGTTTTCCCCAAAGCCAGTAAATACTGGTACTCATTTGGGGGGGAAAAGCTGAGCGGGACTAGACCTTAGGACCGCTCTGAATAGACTATTGCCAAATAAAAAACTCTCAACGGATCTGGGATTTAAACCCAGATCCCTCAGATTACTTAGTACTTGTGAAGTGAACTTAATACACGCCAGTAAGCAAAATTATGCCCACATCCCGTTCTGTCTTTAAACAAGAATAGCGTTAACTCCGTGGACTGAGCCTATCATGGCAGCCAGGAAGGCGTGGTCCACTTCGCAGACAGCAGGCAGATTCAAAACCAAAAATCCAGGGGGGGGAGGGGAGCGCTGCTGCATTGTGCGGCGCCGGAGGAGGCGGCGCAGGCGGCGGCCGATAAGGTCCAGCGCGTGGCGGGGCCGGACCCCTCCCCCCCCTTTCCCCCTCCCTCGGAGCTTAATATCCGCCCAGGGATGAGATGGCGGCCGTGCGCGCGCTCGCCCGCGGACTTTTCTATATAAAGATCGGGCGTTTGCCGATACTTCTCGCCTGCGACTCGGGCGGCGGCGAGCGGCAGTAAATCAACGTCGATAAAGAAGACAATGAAAACATTTCAAACAAATTGATTCAGCGGATTTGTTGTGACGTGCGCGGCGGCGCGGGCGCGGGCGCGGGCGCGTTCGGTGGCGTCGCCGCCGCCGCCGCCGCAAACAGCGCTGCGCGCGATGGGCACTTCCATTGATTGCGCGCCGCCCCCGCACCGCCGCCGCCGCCGCCGCCGGGGCCTTATTGGATTCTTGCGAGCAGCGCCGGCGGGCGGATGGAGTCGTCTTGGTGGAGTGGGCGCGGGCCCGCGAGGGGCGCTGGCGATCATCTTGCCCCCACCCCCTCCCCTACCCATGGAAGCCGGTCGCGTCTTCTTGGCACGCTCCGGAGAGTGCGAGCCGCGAATGGCGGCGTAGTAGGCAAAAATGGGTCAATTTGATGAAACATTCGGGGTGATTGCGATTACGATCCGACAGTCTGTGTCTGAAAGATTCGTAGAGCGTCCGAGATTTTTACGAATATACTTTGCCTTAAAATACAACTTCCGTGTATGAGAAATATTATAAGATATTAAAATTCGGCGTGAATGTATTTGCGATGTATAAGTCTTTCTTCCGAAGAAAATATGCAAAAGGATAATATGAGAATATGTTGCACGGCATTAAAATTTCTCAAAATCACATTTATTGTAATCTTCGACAGTTATATATTTTTTTCGTATTATTAATAATTAAGGTTAGAGTAGATATTAGTTTTAAGTCCGTCGATTATTTTCTAACAAGAAGATCCTTTGAGAGTCTCTCTTCCGACTGAGAGTACTAAACCTGATTCTCATGCTTAGAGGCTTTAGTGAAACGAGTTGGTTCCTCCCGTCAGCGTTTCTCAAAACTCTCGAGCCGTCGTATCTCCTATTCGTGCTTGTCGGTTTCCGAACTTCCGGTTTCTGTGTCGTGGCATTACCAGAAATACAGTTTTAATCCCCCATGTCGGATCCTGCCTTTACAGTTGGGCGTCCATCTTCTCGTTCGTTTTTCGAGAGAAGAATCCCGTTAACACGTCTGTTGGCGGCGACGGCGCCTTCTACTAATGACCAGGGACACTTGGGGCCGCGTGGGCGCCCGGCTGGGACCAAGTTGCCGTTGAGTTGGATTCCGGGAAAGTACTTGTCAACCGAAGTAGATATCCCTCTCCCCCCGCCCGTTATCACCGAACCT